TCAGACCCACAACAGGCATGGAATGGTCATCAATAAACAAGACAGGATTGGCACGTTGGTTGTTCACCTGAAATTCTGAGGAGCTCCAGGGGTCACAAGAAAGGAGCTGGGGGCAGGATGAAACCCAAGGACTGCAAGATGCTTACTGTACTTTTCGGAATATAAGACGCACTTTTCCCCCCTCTAAAAGTGGGTGAAAATTGTGGTGCATCTTATACACCGAATCAGTGGTGGGTTGCCCCCGGTTCGGACCGGTTCTATAGAACCGGTAGTAAAACCGGTGGAAGGCTCTTCCCACCGACCCTGACGTCATCAGAAAGCTTCTGTGCATGCGCAGAAGCGCGTTCGCGCATGTGAGCGAAGTGAGCACGTGCACACGGCCCCATTGCAAACCAGTAGTAAAGGTAAGTAGAACCCACCCCTGCACTGAATGTTGCTGAAGCCCCACCCACTCGCTGGCCCCTACCCTTCAGCCATTTTTGGCCTCCGTGCATTGCGTTCTCGGCCTCTGCATGCCCCGTTTTTGATCTCTGTCGCATTTTTGGCCAGTTCCAGGCAGCGGGGATCAGCAGCAGCAGCGGTGATAATCCCTGCCACCTGAAACCAGCCAAAAATGTGATGTGCGGAGGCCAAAAACGGGGCATGCGGAGGCCGAAAATGCGATGCACGGAGGCCGAAAACATGACACACAGAGGCGGCAATGGGCTGTGGTAATCCCCGCAGCCTGGAACAGCTGATTGGTGGTATTCTGGGAGGCTGATCCAATTGCCAATCAGCTGCTCATGCTGAATCAGGCTGCGATAACATGCTGAAGCTTACCAGGCTGTTTGCTGTTTGCTGCAAGGACGCTAGCCAGATGAATACTAATGGATGCTGGTTGGCAGAGACAGAATTTTTTTTTCTTGTTTTCCTCCCCAAAAACTAATGTGCGTCTTATACTCCAGAGCATCTTATACTCCGAAAAATACGGTACTTATTGAGCTTGAAAGCAAATAGTAAGATAATATGGCAGACTTAATCTAACTGCTCCAGTTGTTGTTTCTGCTCCTATCAAGGCGGGCCATACATTCTATTTCACAAGTTAGTTATCCACACAACATTGACTCTATAAATCACACAGCAATCCAGTCATGGATAAGAGGTACAATCCAGTCAAATTAAACCTTGCAATATAGTAGAATCTTCTGTTCAAGCCCTTTAAGGTTGGCAGAGCTAATTTTTAGAGAATTGGAACATTACTACATTAATAGTACTAATTCAGCCCACCCCATGTTTTCCAAAGACAACCTCCCTATATCGTAGTGGCATAAAAAATTGATTTTTTTAATCAACCCAAGACTGTTCAAATTTCACGTTAGAAATTCAGCTCTGAATGAATTTGAGACCACTTTAAAGGGTAACTCTTGCTGATATGTTGGTTGGTTCCTAATATTTAGGAACCTAATATTTATGGGATAAAATCTCCTACGATCCATGGAAAAATTATTTATTTATTTGTTCAACTTGTATGCCACCTTTCTCCGAAGACTCAATGCATTTAAAATCCATATATAAAAACATTAAAAACAATTAAAACCCATTCACACCATTCATGGCTGGATCTCGCCAGATCGCAAGAGTGAGATCAACGGCCCCAGGCCTGCCGGAAAAGCCAAGTCTTCACCACTTTTCGGAAGGCCAATAGGGTGGGGATGGTCTGGATCTCAGGAGGTAACTGGTTCCAGAGAGCTGGGGCAGCCACAGAGAAGGCCCTCCCTCGCGGGCCCGCCAGCCGGCATTGTTTAGCTGACGGGACCCGGAGGAGACCAACTCTGTGGGATCTTACCGGTCGCTGGGAGCTATGCGGTAGAAGGCGGTCTTGAAGATAACCTGGCCCTGAGCTATGTAGAGCTTTAAAGGTAAGAACCAACACCTTGAATTGTGACCAGAGACCAATAGGGAGCCAGTGCAGCTCGTGGAGAATTGGTGCAATGTGGGTGTACCTAGGTACACTAGGTGACTATGAATTCTAGTCCCACCTTAGCCATGAAAGCCTGTTGGGTGAATTTGGGCGAATCACCAGGAGACTGTGAGTTCTGTGATTTTGGGCCCGTCCGTCCCAGCCGAACCCACCTCACAGGGTTGTAGCGTTATGGGGAAAATAGGAGGAGAAATGAGTATTAGGTATGTCTGTTCCCTGAGCTATTTCTAAAAACAATAAAGGTGGGATATAAAGGAGCCTGAGTGGTGTAGGAGGCTAATGCCCGGTTTGTGGGAGCTGACTTTGTATAAAATATACAAAAGTATGAAGGCTATTTCTTAATGCATTGTAAGCCGCCCTGAGTCTCCGGAGAAGGGCGGCATATAAAAATAAATAAAAAATAAAATAAAAAATAAAAATAAAAATTAATAAATAAATATTTTTTTTAAAAAAAAAATATCGTTGCTGTTCTGCCAGCTTTGTGCCAGGATAGCTGCACCCCCTGACTTTCTCTTTGTTAAGTAATTACTGAATATAAATGTTGCCCATTCCAAGAAAAACAAAAACAAGGAAAACGGGCAGCTGAAGGCTCAGCTTTCAGGTCAATTAGTTGCTTGAAATAGAATCTTCCACGTTAAGACTGTAAATTTGTTGGCGATGCTTGGTGACTTAGTGACCAAGAGATGGATGGGAGAAAACATTACTCAAAGCGGCCATTCTCAAGGGCCCAACTTTGCCGAGACAACCTCAAAGGAATATGAGCTAATAGGGTCAGCGGACTGAAGAATGCAATTATACAAGGAATTGGATACCCGATCTTTTGACCTCCCCTCTTCGGTCCAGAGAATTCAGCCGATTCCACTAAATTCAACCTAAATAGAGCTGAAGAAGCTTCTTGGATGAGGAGTGAAAGGTCTTCAAAGAAAAACCAGAAAGTCCAGTTGCCTCTTGGAAAAAAGGCACCTTTGGGACAACCATGACCTGGATGACTGAGAAGCTCCATAGACAGATGCAGGGAAGACATTTTCTTGAAATTTGTGCAGTTTCTCCTGTCTGTTTTTTCTAGAGGTGTCCTGCTATCAGGGCCGGATTTTCCTATAGGCTAACTAGGCTTCAGCCTAGGGCCTCAAGATCAAGAGGGGCCTACATTCCCTACATTCAAATTGTTAGCAAAATTAAAATTACACTTTCACTATAGGTGAAAGGGCCTCATAAGTGGAATAGCCTAGGGCCTCTTTTCATCTAAATCCGGCCCTGCCTGCTATAGCAATGCAGATACACACTGGAACAGGAGTATCTTATGTGTAAGTGTGAATTTGTGCCCTGAATCTCCTACAATATTATTAGCATCTTATCTTCTTTCGTCTGTTTCCTTCACCAATGGTCCTGTTTCAGAAATATATAGGTAGTCCTCGATTTACAACAATTTGTTTAGTGATTGTTACAACGGCACTGAAAGATGTGACTTATGCAGGGGTGGGATTCTACTGGTTTGGACCGGTTTGGGTGAACCGGTAGCTCCAACGATCAGCTGGGCCCACCCCCCCTCATCCCTGCACTTTACTTACCTTTATCTTCGCAACTGATTAGCATGGCAGAGCGGATTGCCGCACTTCAGCTGTTTTAATTCCCTACACGAATGCGGAAGGTGATTTTTCCTTGAACTGCGCGTGTGCATGCAATGAAGCGTGCATGTCATGCCTGGAAGCCATATTACCTGTCTGCCTTGAGGATCCAGGCCTGCCACAATCATACCGTGGGAAGTTGGGAGGGGGGATTGCATGAGTGAAGTAGAGATAGTCATAACAAACTTCTCTAAAAGAGGTTCAAGGCCATGGTGTCCGGCAGCTGTGCAAAGAAGACATTGGAAGAAATGTCTTCTGTTTGGGAAAGAACTGATTGGAGCTGTGGTGGATATGTGGGAGATGTGGCCAAGGTCTTGAACTTTCTTGTGGGTGAGGAAAACCCGGAAACTTTCAGATTCGGGTTTTTTCCAAATGTGCCAATCTGACATCCCTAATAAAAGTTAGTTTTGAGGAACTTCAAGCCTCGGAGTTTGATTTTGTTGGGGGTGTTACTTGTTACAACCAAACCAGTTGTTAAACCGGAAGGATCCCACCACTGGACTTATGACTGTTTTTCACACGTATGGCCCATGGCCATATGATCAAAATTCAGATGCTCGGCATCCGACTTATATTTATGACCATTGCAGTGTCCCGGGGACATGGAGATAACCTTTTCGACCTTCTGACAAGCAAAGTCAACGGGGAAGCCGGATTCACTTAACGGCTCTGTTAGTAATGTAACAACTACAATGATTCACTTAACGACGGAGGAAAGAAAGGTTGTAAAATGGGTCCAAATTCATTTAACAAATGTTTTGCTTAACAACAGAAATTTTGGGCTGAAGGTTGTAAAATGGGACAAAATTCACTTAACAAACGTCTCACTTAACAACTGGAATTTTGGGCTCAAAATTGTGGTCGTAAGTTGAGGACTACCTGTAATATGGACCCTTTGCCCTTTAAAGGAAGAGATTTTAAACTTTTTTTTAAAAAAAAAAGTCATCTGTTTTCTTCCAGTCCTGTTGATCAGGTTAGCAGTCAGAAGAAGGGGAAATGCCGGATGGAACTAAAAGCTATTTCCAGGCCCAAATTCAGACAGAACAAAATTTCCTTTTTTCTTTTGCAGCTGAAAAGCAGTAAAGCCAGGCCTTATCTCAAACAAGCAGAGCTCTTCGATTTAAAGTAATATCACAGGTGCAGATAATAAGCTTAAGGACTAGAAGCTTGAAATGTTTTTAGCAATCCCACACATGCTGACTCAGAACAAAAGGAGAAGAGGCAGGAATGAAGGCGAAGCTCAGAACAAAAGGGATGAATAGGAAATGTGGAAACTGAGAGGTGAAAATAGGAGGTGGAGTGTCTTGTAGCAATTTTTTTCTGCATCAAGATGTATTTTTTTCGTGCGTGGAGTCTGTGAGAACAGTCCTGCAAAATGTATGCCATGTTTGGTCGCTCGAAAGAAAAGTACTTACTGGAATTCACCTTTGGTAAGCTGTCACTGTTAGGCCTCTGTGGCAATGTCACGAGGGCAGGTAAGGGTGTGTTTCCTGTCAAGGAAAGGAGAATCAGAAGAGAACATATTAGCAAGCAGTGAATTGCACTGCTTTAGCGGAGGTTTCCACTAGAAATGCAGTTATGGGTTAGCACAATCTTGTCCTTCATGCACAGGGAGACATGTTCTCTACACAGTAATGGCCAAAATTGTGGAAACCTTTTGGGAAAAGTATATTTTCTAAAACTAGCTGATAACACCACTTTTTTTTTTTGTTTTTGTTTTTGTTTTTGGAGTAGTACCATAAAATTATATATCAATGGAAAGATAATTTAATCAAGAAGGTAATGCAATAACTTTTATGAAGGATTTGCTATTAGAATAGCAGTTACAGTATAAAGAAGGAAAGTGAAACACGTAGAAAATAAACGAGATATACAAAAATGATCATCATAGAAAAAATGAGATATACAAAAATGATCACCATGTCAATTAATACTTAGTTGGGTAACCTTCAGCATGAATGACGGCCTTACAACATCTTCCCATGGAGTAAACCAAGTCTTTTAGTTCTGCAGCTGTTCTAATGTGAAACCAAGATTGAACGATTGCTTCTATTAACTGGGTTTTATTGCTGGGTCACTTCCGACTAACAAGTTTCTTTAGTCGGCTCCCTAGATTTTTCAATTGGGTGAAGGTCTGGGCTATTCCCAGCCCATTCCAGCAGTGGAATAGGATTGTCTTGAAGCTCCAAAAAAAAGTGGTGTTCTTAGCCATCAAACCTCAAAAATACACTTTTCCCAAAAGGTTTCCACAATTTTGGCTACTAGTGCATATGTCTCCTTTAATCTCATCTCCACCTTTGGCTCATTTCTGGAACAAATGAACCAGATGTATGAAGTTGGCCATCTCAGAACAAGATAGGCATCCTTATATCATTCCTTATATCATTCCTTATATCAAATGATTATGCATTCTATTTTTAAAAAGCACCCACACCTCCAGGAGGCAAACTATTCCATTGATTAATTGTTCTCACTGTCAGAAAATTTCTCCTTACTTCTAGGTTGGATCTCTCTTTAAGAAGCTTCCATCCCTTACTTCTTATCCTATCCTCAGATCAGGGGTGAAATCCAGCAGGTTCTGGAGAACCGGTAGTGGAAATTTTGAGTAGTTCGGAGAACTGGCAAATACCACCCCTGGCTGGTCCCAGAGTGGGGATTTTGCAGTATCCTTCCCCTGTCATGCCCACCAAGCCACACCACGCCCACCAAGCCATGCCCACAGAACCAGTAGTAAAATATTTGGATTTCACCACTGCCTCAGATGCTTTGGAGAATAAGTCAATCCACTCTTCTTTGTGATATCCCCTCAAGTATTGGAAAACAGTTATCATGTCCTCACTCCCCAATCCTTCTCTTCAATAAGTTAGACGTAGCTACCTCCTCCCTCAACTGTTCATCATACGATTTAGTCCCCAGACCCTTCGTCATCTTTGTTGTTCTTCTCTGCACTCTTTCTTAGGTTCTTAGCATCTCGGAATGGGACCCCGCACCACAGCCATTTTGTCATGATCCATTTGTCACACCATGGCCAACTCACCGCAGGATAATTCACCACAGTTCGATTTAATGATTTAAGAGAATTAAAATGTTGTTTTAATTTGTGTCATTCATATTTCATTTTGTCCCTCCATTCTGTAATGATTCTCTTCCACCGTTTCTTCAAGATTAGTGTAATTCTTGTCCCACAGCAAGTTGGCCATTGTAACAGAGGTGCTATTCAGCAGGTTTTGACAGGTTTGGGAGAACCGGTAGCAGAAATTTTGAGTAGTTCGGAGAACCGGCAAATATCACCTCTGGCTGGCCTCAGAGTGGGGTGGGAATGGAGATTTTGCGGTATCCTTCCCCTGGAGTGGGGTGGGAATGGGGATTTTGCAATATCCTTTTCCCTGGAGTGGGGTGAGAATGGGGATTTTGCAATATCCTTCCCCCAGGAATGGGGTGGGAATGGGGTGGGTGGGATTTGCAGTATCCTTCCCCTGGAGTGGGGTGGGAATGGGGATTTTGCAATATCCTTCCCCCAGGAGTGGGGAGGGAATGGGGATTTTGCAGTATCCTTCCCTTAGAGTGGGGAGGGAATGGAGATTTTGCAATATCCTTCCCCCAGGAGTGGGGAGGGAATGGGGATTTGCAGTATCCTTCCCTTAGAGTGGGGAGGGAATGGAGATTTTGCAGTATCCTTCCCTTGGAGTGGGGTGGGAATGGAGATTTTGCAGTATCCTTTCCCTTCCATGCCCACCAAGCCACACCCACAGAACCGGTAGTAAAAAAATTTGAGTTCCGCTACTGCATGGTCATTTGTCTCACTGTGAGTTGGCCGTGGTGAGTTGGCCATGGCAAGTTGCCCTAGACTGGACCCTCTTTTTTGTGCCGTGATGACTGGAATTGGGCACAGTATTCCAGGAGTGGCCTCACTAGTGCAGTAAGATCATAAATGAGTTTCCCAAGATCCTTTGTGTAGTCCTTTTCTGCACCTTCTCAAGCATTGAAATCAGTGGTGAAATCCAATTTTTTTTACTACCGGTTCTGTGGGTGTGGCTTGGTGGGCATGGCAGGGGAAGGATACTGCAAAATCCCCATTCCCACCCCACTCCAGGTGAAGGATATTGCAAAATCCACATTCCCTCCCCACACCTGGGGCCAGCCAGAGGTGGTATTTGCCGGTTCTCCGAAATGCTCAAAATTTCTGCTACCGGTTCTCCAGAACCTGTCAGAACCTGCTGGATTTCACCCCTGGTTAAAATATACTTTGTTGTGACAAACAGAACACTGCAGCATACGACACATAATAGTTGCAACTTACTAGGAGGAGGATGGGTCTTCAAGGCAACTGGTTTTTCCTCTGTAGATGGAGAAGCCAATGGAGAAGGAACACCCACTGCTGTAAATATTGAATAATAAAATCATTAGTCTGCTCCCAGCCGATCTCAATTAATCAAAATGAAATTTAAATTCTAGAAAACGAGTTACAATAAAGGGGAGATCTGGATTAAAAAGAATGTGTGGCTCTTAAGCGTGGATACCCTAAAAGGATTTTCTGCTTGCATGAAATACAGTCTGTCTTTTAAAAAAAAAAAAAACTTTCTGGTCATATTCTTAAAGGCTTAAAAGCTTTATTTAAAAAATAACATTAGTTGGCTGAATGGAGAATTTATTTGCACAGTCTGGGATTCATTACTTCATGCTTCGCTTGCTGTTAAAATAAATACTATCAAGAAATTAATTTGATATCCAACTTTTTCAAGGAATGAAATTCCTCCAGTTTTATCGACATCAGTTGGGCCATTTCAATTGAGAGATGTCATCACATAACTAAACCTGGTTGTCCCTGCAGGTGATTCCCTAAGAGCTGAGGATCGCAAATATGAATACTCAGGAAAAAGAAAGCAGCAGTGGCTGGGAAGGAAAGTGAATGGATGACATTAAATCAATTCAAAGAATGCCAGTTTGGAATCGTGGTTAAAGCATCAGGCTAGAAACCGGGTGGCCAGGTGTTATAGTTCCTCTTAGGCATGAAGCCAGTTGGGTGACCTTGGGCCGATCACTAGGACACTGTGAGTTCTAGTCCCACCTTAAACATGAAAGTCAGCTGGGTGACTTTGGGCCCATCACCAGGAGACCATGAGCTCTAATCCCGCCTCAGGCATGAAAGCCTCTCTCTTAACACTAGGAAGCAAGCAATGACAAACCATTTCCAAAAATACTGCTAAGAAAATTTCAGGGACTTGTCCAGCCAGTTGCCATGGGTCAACAATTACTCAAAGATAGGAAAGGAAAGGAAAGGAAAGGAAAGGAAAGGAAAGGAAAGGGAAAGGAAAGGAAGGGAGGGGGAGGGGAGGGGAGGGGAGGGGAGGGGAGGGGAGGAGAGGAGAGGAGAGGAGAGGAGAGGAGAGGAGAGGAGAGGAGAGGAGAGGAAGGGAGGGGAGGGAGGAGAGGGAAGAGGAGAGGAGAGGAGAGGAGAAGAGGAGAGGAGAAAGGAAAGGAAGGGAGGGAAGAGGAGAGGAGAGAGGAGAGGAGGGAGGGAGGAAAGGAGGGAGGGGAGGAGAGGAAAGGAAAGGAAGGAAAGGAAAGGAAAGGAAAGGAAAGGAAAGGAAAGGAAAGGAAAAAGGAAAAAAGCTTGGGAAACTTGGCAATAAACAAGAGAGCTGAAATGCTGAATATTTCCAGACTTTGAACACTCACTTGGTGCTGGCCGGGTCATAGACAGAAAGTCTGTTTGGATCAAAGGAGCTGAAGGTATAGATGGTTGGGTAGGAGAAATGCCCCATCCATTTGAAGCGTTTGTCTGCAACCAAGATGAGATCTGGGGAGAAGGACCTGGAAAACTTTTCAAAGTAGCAGAGTTTTGCCATATTGACAACTGCTGGGGGACCGTTTCATCCTCTTTCACGACAATGGTCTTAGCTTGTAAAGGTATCCTTGGGGCTGGAGAAAAAAAGAAAGAAAGAAAAGTATGTAAATAAACAGAGCCTCTAATGCAGTGTTTCTCAACCTTGGAAGCTTGAAGATGAGTGGACTTCAACTCCAAGAATCCCCCAGCCAACGCTGCTGGCTGGGGGATTCTGGGAGTTGAAGTCCACCCATCTTCAAGCTTCCAAGGTTGAGAAACACTGCTCTAATGGAACATTTTTATTTATTTTTATTTTCGTCAAGCATGTATTTTATGACAGATACAAGTGTAAACATAATTATAAATACATGAAAAGGATTAGGACAGAGATGGTGGGTACCCTGGTGTGCTTATGCACACCCCTTACTGACCTTTTAGGAATCTAAGGGTTAAAATCTACGGTTAAAGTTTTGGGGGGTTGGGGAAGAAACCTCAGAGTCAGGTAGCGCATTCCAGGCATTGACCAATCTGTTACTGAAGTCGTATTTTCTGCAGTCTAGTTTGGATCAGTTTACCATGAGTTTGTATCTATTGTGGGCTCTTGTATTGTTTTGGTTGAAGCTGAAGTATTCATTGGCTGGTAGGACATTGTAGCAGATGATGTTATGTCCTATGCTTAGGTCAGACTGAAGACGGCGAAGTTCTAAGTTGTCTAAGCACAAAATTTCGAGTCTGGTGGCCTAAGGTATTTTGTTGCGAGCAGAGGAGTGGAGGACTCCTTTATTTACCATCTTAATCCTATATTTACCATCCACCTTAAGAAATCTGCAACTCCTGGAGTAAAATGTGATGCTTTCGTGTTTGATAACTTTCTTGAGAAGGAAGAGGTTTCATTGGATTGAACGCATGGTCCCATGGCAATCAAACAGAGACTTTCACTTCCCTGCCAATATTCTTTAACTCAGCTCTATAGGACCGTGATGGTGAACGTATGGCACGTGTGCCAGAGGTGGGACACAAAGCCCTCTCTGTGGGCATGTGCACCATCACCAGCTGGTCTTTGCAGGTGCCAGAGCACAAAAAAATGGCCTGAAAACAGCCCCAAAAAATGGCCTGAAAACGGCCAAAAAACCCGGCCAAAAACCAGGCATGTGTGCGCCAGCCAGCTGATCTTCAGGTTTCCAGTGCCCCAGCATGCACGAAGATCAGCTGGCTGGCGTGCATGCGTATGCCAGAAACCCAAAGACCAGCTGGCTGGCACGTGCAAGTGCACCAGCCAGCTGGACTTTGGGTTTCCGGCGCTCCAGCATGTGCACATGCACACGTGTTCCGATTTGGGTACTAGGTGCCGAAAAGGTTCGCCATCACTGCCATAGGAAGACCTTGATTCAGGTTTATTATATCTCTCCCCACTTTTTTTTTTTTTTAGTCTCACAGAAAGATAATTCTTTTTCTTTCAGTTCAATATATACTCTTTATCATGTACTGCTTTGACATTCCAAGTTGCAACATTCTGCAAACCATGGGCTTCATCAGAGGGGCCCACAGCTATTGACCTCTGATATCCATCATGACATTTGTTAATTCTCATATTATTATTTTTTATTAAGGTAGAGAAGGTATAAACTGTTGTTAGTTCTGGCACATTTTGGCCAGGAAACCACACATACAACCAAACCCACTTTTAACCCACGCTTTTAGCTGGGTTTTAAGCTGCAAGCCACAAACTCTAAACTTGAGATGGTCTTGCAAGCCAGTTTGGAGATACATGCAATTTTTTTTTTTTTTTTTGGTCTTCTGTTCAACTACAGTAGTGGCCAAAATTGTGGAAACCTTTTGGGAAAAATGTATTTTCTAAAACTAGCTAATAACACCACTTTTTGTGGGGGGGAGTAGTACCATAAAATTGTATATCAGTGGAAAGATAATTTAATCAAGAATGCAATGCAATAACTTTTATGAAGGATTTGCTATTAGAAGAGCAATTACAGTATAAAGAAAAGTGAAACACATAGAAAAAAATGAGATATACAAAAATGATCACTATAGAAAAAACGAGATATACAAAAATGATCACCAGGTCAGTTAATACTTAGTTGGGTCACCTTTAGCATAAATTACAGCCTTACAAAGTCTTCCCATGGAGTGAACCAAGTCTTTTAGTTCTGCAGCTGTTGTAATGTGAAAGCAAGATTGAAGGATTGCTTCTATTAACTGGGTTTTATTGCGGGGACTAACAAGTTTCTTTAGTTGGCTCTGTAGATTTTCAATTGGATTAAGGTCTGGGCTATTCCCAGGCCATTCTAGCAGTGGGATATGATTGTCTTGAAACTCCCCCAAAAAAGTGGTGTTCTTAGCCATCAAACCTCAAAAATACACTTTTCCCACAAGCTTTCCACAATTTTGGCCACTACTGTATATCTGATTCTTGGACTCAGACAAGTCCCTGCAGTTTTCTTGGCAAAGTTTCTCAGAAGGGGTTTGCCATTGCCTCCTTCCTAAATCAAAGAGGGCAGGACTAAAACTCAGAGCCTTCTGATTTCTAGGCTGATACCTTCACCAAACTGGTTCTCACATACAATATACTGATATGCCATTGTGAATCTATTTTAGATAAATGGAAGACTGGAATAAATATTCTCTTAAGCAAGTAAAATCCCTTAAAATAAAAGAAGGTTATACCGCATGAAGTCAGCGATGGTTTGAGTAGTCTATGATTGATTGGTTGAAATTATCAAATTCATACCACACAACTCCATGGCCTTTACAAGAATGGTGCGGTGGCCTAGAGGTGGAGCTCTCGCCTCACAATCAGGAGGCTGTGAGTTTGATCCTAGGTAGAGGCAAATATTTTTCTCTCTCTGGGCAAACTGAGAATATATCTGCTGGACAAAACTCCAAATTGGCAACTGGAAGGGCATCCGGCTATTATAACAGTCTGCTAGCTCCATTCAGTTGCCCAGACTCCACCCTGCAAGGCCCTATGGGGTCGTTAAAAGAAGATGAACTATATAGCCTATACAGACTCACTATGAACTGGCAGAAATCTTGACGAAGTGCTGGAGATGTCTATAGAAGCAGGAGAAGACCTTGTTAAGGTTGCTTCAGCAGAGGGAAGACCAGATTCTTTGGAAGCATTGGTCTTCAGCCACCAGGAAGCTTGTACCAATGGAATTTCTGGTCCTTCTGCTTTTCCAGGCTTCAGCCAATTTGGCTGTTTTGTCAACAACAGGTCTTCCTTCAAGGTGCCAGTTTGTGTCCAGGTAGGCAACTTTGCAGCTGAAAGATGTTAAAGATAGTTATTGTTCGTGGAATACGTTTCAGCTTCACACTCATACATTCCCCATCATTGTATATAAAGTCTGTAAAGCAATGTTTCTCAACCTTGGTAGCTTGAAGATGGGTGGACTTCAACTCCCAGAATCCCCCAGCCAGCGCTGCTGGCTGGGGTTTCTGGGAGTTGAAGTCCACCCATCTTCAAGCTTCCAAGGTTGAGAAACACTGCTGTACAGGGATATTAGATCTCTAGGGATACCACTGGATGTGCCCGATAGGCTAAAAGTTGGTAGGATAAAATACAGAAAAGCAGACAATTCAGTCCCCCCCAAAAAAAATGTAATATTGCTAATAAATGTAATATTGATAAGCCTGTTGTTTCACTAGCTTATGTCCAGGAGGCATCTTCCCATTCTACCACCACCATTAGATCAGCAATCTTGTGAGCATTCATAGCCCATGAGTGAGGGATGATAGATGGATGGATGGATGGAGGCAGGGAGGGAGGGAGAGATAAAATGTAATGGCTATTACCAAATGGAGTATGGAAAAACAGAGGCTGCATGTCAGGAGTGTTGACATATTGTGAGTATGGGGGCTACAAACCTTAGTACTGTGATGGTGAACCTATAGCAAGAATGCCACACAGTGGTGGGTTTCAAATTTTTTTACTACTGGTTCTGTGGGTGTGGCTTGGTGGGCGTGGCATGGCTTGGTGGGTGTGGCAAGGGAAGGATACTGTAAAATCTCCATTCCCACCCCACTCCAGGGGAAGGATACTGTAAAATCTCCATTCCCTCCCCAATCCAGGAGAAGGTTACTGCAAAATACCCATTTCCTCCCGATCAGCTGTGACTCGGGATGCAGAGAATAGATGGAGATGGGGCCAGTGAGAATTTTTACTACCGGTTCTCCGAACTACTCAAAATTTCCACTACCAGTTCTCCAGAACTGGTCAGAACCTGCTGAAACCCACCTCTGGTGCCACAGCTGGCACACAGAGCCTTTTCTGCCGGCATGTGAGCTGTCGCCCAGCTTAGCTTCACCGCGCATGCGAGCACACCTCCTGCCAGCCAGCTGGTTTTTGGGATGCACAAGAGGTGGGGCACATGCGGGAGACATGAGCACATGTGTGAGGGGTCATGAACACATGCGCAGGGGGCGGGGGTTGCACACCCATATATGGGGGGCAGGGGGAGCGTGGGGGTGCGGCGCCCCCTGCTGGCCCATTTTTGGGCCCAGGAGGCTTCAGGGAGGCCTACTAGGCCTAAAACAGGGGCAGGGGGGTCACACACAGATGCGCGGAGGAGCAATGGGGAGCTGGGGGGTTGCGTGCGCATGGGTGGGGGTGGGGAACATGAGGGGGCACATGCATGGGGGCGCATTGCATTAGGGGAGCTGGCGCGTGCTTTCAGCACATGACAAGAGAAAGGTTAACCATCCCTGCCCTAGTATTTACAGCTAGCCAGTTCAAATCAGCTTACATGCCAGCCAGCTTGTCAATGTGGATATACATTTTCTGAGGAGCGAGAAAATGTCTGTCATGTGTATAAACGTTTTTAATTGGTAAATGAGTTTTAATTGGGCCAAATTTATACATCTTTTAATTGTTTTTAATATTTGTTCTGCATGTTTTTTAATCTGGCTGTACACCGCCCTGAGTCCTCAGGGAGAAGGGCGGTATAGAAATCCAATATAAAATAAAATAAAATAAATAAATAACAATCTGTTATGTGTACAACGATCAAATTCTTTCAGCTCCTCCTATTGGACCTAAGTTCTTTTAAAATCGTAACAGATCTTCAAGAGGAAACCAAGGAACAAAATATTGACCTAGAGTGGGACGGGGAAAAAAGGTTGACAGTCACAAAGAGTTTCTGATTAAAGCTTGCACTTTCTAGAAATCGGGGAGAAAATAGAGGAACCTGCTGCAGAAAAATCATCTTTGTAAAGTTAGGTATGTCTAACCCTGAATATTCATTTTTGGTGTGGCACCAGCTTTATTGTTTTTTGTACTTATTCTTTGTCCTTGTTCCTTATTCCATTTTCTTATTTCTCTCTCTCTAAGAGAAATAATACAAAATTTGGTGTAAAATTCTGACTTTATTTCACCCAAGTCAAACTGTGAAAAAGTGAGGTCACAGTGAAAAAAAACTCGGCTTCTGAACTTGTTGCTCAAACTGGGAAAAAAGTGAAATTTTGATTTTAGGTTTTGAAAGCTAGAATGGTTTTATTGTTCTAGAAATGGCTTGAAATGTGAAGAAATGTAAAGCTTTAATGTAAAACTGAGGTTTTAGTTCTTTTTGTAATCTACTGCATTGAAAAAAGTCAGAAGTCGCTATTCTTTCTTTCTTTCTTTTTCTTTCTTTCTCTTTCTTTCTTTCTTTCTTTCTTTCTTTCTTTCTTTCTTTCTTTCCAGACCCTTGTTTTTTCTTCTCTTAGTTTTCTTTTGTTTCTTTTTGTATTTATATTGTTCGGGTCCGAGCCTAATGGACGCCAGACACAAGGTGCAGGTTTTCTGAGTACCCCAAGGAAAAAGGGCTCCTGGCCAAAATGCCAAGAACCAAGAACAAAGGATTAAGAAAGCTTTATACATTTTCACTAAAGAAGAAGGCGAGATAATAAGAAATATCATCTAATAAACATTTTAGTAATAATTCTACAATTTGTTCTATTGGTCTCTAGCTGTCCCTATTCCTAAGCCTTGGCTAATGAATGCCCCAGGAGTTATCTAATACACATTTTATTGGCTGCAGGCCATCTGTATTCCTAATTGTTAACTGAGGCCTGCAAGTTGTCTAACTCTTGTTACTTTTCTCAGCTTTCTATCTACCCAGAATTGTTACAATATTTATACATGCATATTTCCTGTAGATAAGCATTCTTTGTTCTTGCCAGACACACTCCCCAATGACAGGCTTCCTGATTTACTTTCAAGTGTGTGTCATGACCTGGCTTTATTTTAGCATACAGCCCATCAATATCTTATAATAAAATTTAATATAAAGGCTTTAAAAAATACAGAGATCAAATTATTCAACTTTTGAGAAAGAAAAGATTCTTTTGTATATCCCTGGTAGTTTAAAAAAAAGAGAGAGAGAGTTGTAATCATCTTTCTTGGCATGCAACAACTGTGACGTGAGACTGCTGTTTCACACTCTGTCTAATGTCAGAACTGGCTCCAATGAACATGCAGCTGAGGTCTACTCTAAACCCTCTTTTTATTGCTCAGTATCTCTCTCTTCTAAATGGACATATTCAGGACATAATGTTAGACCCAAAGAACTAAGAGTGACACATGGAGATTCTTCTGAGTAGCTGCTTTATAGTTGCAGGATTCAATCTGGATCAGTCGCTAGGACCAGAGGTTTTGTCTGGCGAGCTTTCAGACTCGTGCTGGAGCCCATCTTCCCAAGAATTTCTCTCTAGGCTAGACTTGTGCTAGAGCTAGAGAGAAGTCCTCTTGAGGATGGGCTCCAGCACAAGTCTGAAAGCTCAGAAGACAAAACCTCTGGTACAAGGGTGAAATCTACTTACCTTCCGAAACTGTTCATCAGGTGCGCGCACGGACCCTCTGCGGATGCGCAAACCCTTCTGCACATGCGCAGAGGGTAAAAAACAAGTTAAAACCAGGAAGTAACGATGACCGGGCAGGTGGGCGGAGCCTCGTGCCACCATCGCTACCGGTTCTCCGAACCACCAGCTGCCATCGCTATCGGTTCAGCTGAACTGATTCAAACCGGGAGCATTTCACCCCTGCTCTGGTACCAGTGACCAGTGACCGATCCAGATTTGATCCTGCAACATTATCCTGGGACACATATATCCACCTTCGTTCGTGCTTCATAGTTGGTTGTTTGCTTACAGACAGAATCTTGCCAGACTAAAGCAATTATCCAACATAACTATTGATATGCTTGTGAATTGCTAGGGAGGGTCTGATCTTGCTCTTTTCCTGCCCACCAGACATTCCAAACTCTGTTGTCCCTTTGCTATCTGGGAAAAAAGGCCCTCCTGTAACTCCAGACTACCTTCTATCACATATACTTACCCAAGAAATCTGATATGTTGCCGGAAAAAGTGTAGTTAACTATAGGAGACTTCTCTATTGCTTCCCATAGATCTGTAAGATTTCTGCCTATGGAGAAAAAAAAAGTGTGGGGAGATGAAGGTATCATTGCTTTTGGTTCAGTGGCTACTATAACTAGTGATCAGATCACTGCACTGAGGTCGTCTACAGCAGGAACCTGAGTATTGACAGGGTTGAAAAACTTTGACTCCCATAATCCAGAGCAAAAAATATCACTATCTTTGCAAGAATTTAACACAGTATATCTATATCTATAATCTATATCTATCATCGTCATCTTTTAACAACCCCATAACCCCTTGCAGGGTGGAGTCTGGGCAACTGAATGGAGCTAGCAGAATGTTTTAATGGCCGGATGCCCTTCCAGTTGCCAATGTGGAGTTTTGTTCAGCAGATATATTCTCAGTGTGCCCAGAGAGAGAAATATCTGCCTCTATCTAGGATCGAACTCACAGCCTCCTGATTGTGAGGCAAGAACTCCACTTCTTCGCCACCACACCACACCACACCACACCATATCTATATCTATATCTATATCTATATCTATATCTATATCTATATCTATATCTATATCTATATCTATATCTATATCTATCTATTTTCTTACTTCTTCGTAGGGTTTATGTGTGTTTTTCCTCTAGCCAGGTTTTCCCTACGTAACCAAGGTTTTTCTGCAGCCCTAGCTCAGTAGAATCACATCCACTCGATGATTCTACTGAGCTAGGGCTGCAGAAAAACCTTGGTTACGTAGGGAAAAACCTGGCTAGAGGAAAAACACACATAAACCCTACGAAGAAGTAAGAAAATAGAACTATACCTTTACAGGGAGGATACATAAGATGTGGGTGTGGCTTACTGATGAAAGCAAACGAGCTAGAAATAGATCTATATAAGTCTCCCACCTAGCAGGAAAAATTTGCTGGCTACCAGAAAAGAAAAAAGCCCAGAATCGAGTGGATGTGATTCTACTGAGCTGGGGCTGCAGAAAAACCTTGGTTACGTAGGGAAAACCTGGCTAGAGGAAAAACACATCTATATCTATATCTATAATCATCTATATCTATATCTATATCATCTATATCTATATCTATATCATCTATATCTATCATCTATATCTATATCTATATCATCTATATCTATATCTATATCTATATCATCTATATCTATATCTATATCATCTATATCTATCATCTATATCTATATCATCTATATCTATATCTATATCATCTGTATCAATCATCTATATCTATATCTATATCTAGATGAAGGATAGATGATAAATGATGTGCTCCTCTGTGGGCCCCAAGGGAGTCAGCAGAACCAGGTCTTCAAGCATTTCTGAGAGACCAGGACAATGGAGGCCAGTGGTGGGTTGCCCCCAGTTCGGATTGGTTTGCAAGAATCAGTAGTAAAACTGGCGGGAGACTCCGCCCACCAACCCGGATGTCATCAGGAAGTTTCTGCACATGCGAAGGGAGTGTGTGTGGTCCCGTTGCAAACCTGTAGTAAAGGTAAGTAGAACCCACCCCTGGTGGGGGCCCACCTCATCTTTGGGCTGAGCATATTCATCAGGACAGGGGCATATGACAGAGAAGGGCCTCTTCCTGAACCCTACCAGTTGGAGTTCTTCCATTGATGGAATGCATAGCATACCTTTCCTCCCTGACTGGGTGGGACAGGCTGATGTAATGGGGCAAAGAAACTCTGCAGGTCACCTGGCCCATGCCAGGTAGGGCTTAAAAGGTCATTGCCAATACCTTAAATTGGACCTGGAAGCAAACTGGTACCTAATGCAGCTTATGCGGCAGAGGTGTTCCATGCCCCATCCTTTGAGCACCCAAGATAGCTCATGCAGCTGCATCCTGTAGCCCCCGTAGCTTCCGGATATTCTTCAAAGGGAGCCTCTTTGCAATAGTCCAAATGGGAAACAATCCGTGGGTGGGTGGGTAACTGAGCAAAGGGCCTCCCTATCCAGGAAGGATGCACAATACAAAGTTGAGCAAAATAGGCCATTATCCTCAAAAACATATTTACCTTGAGCTAACAGGGTGACAGAGTTGGAAGAACAATGGGAGATGATCAATATTGTATTGTGATTTTATCACACATGCTAAAGTTTGCAAAGTTAGGGATGGCATGAACATTGTCATCCTTTCGCAATGCATGACTCTTGAACGAAACTCTTGGTTTCTTGAAGAAATGGGACTTTGGAACTTAAAGCTTATCCAATTGCATCTCTTTTTTATTAATTTCCATCCATTGTTTCTTGTCTTGCCTTATAGTGCTTTGGAAAATGGAATAGAATAACAGAGTTGGAAGGGACCTTGGAGGTCTTCTAGTCCAACCCTCTGCTTAGGCAGGAAACCCTACACCACTTCAGACAAATGGTTATCCAACATCTTTAAAATTTCCAATGTTGGAGCGTTCACAACTTCTGGAGGCAAACTGTTCCACTGATTAATTGTTCTAACTGTCAAGAAATTTCTCCTTAATTCTAAGTTGCTTCTCTCCTTGATTAGTTTCCACCCATTGCTTCTTGTCCTGTCTTCAGGTGCTTTGGAGATTAGCTTGACTCCCTCTTCTTTGTGACAGCCCCTGAGATATTGGAACACTGCTATCATGTCTCCCCTGGTCCTTCTTCTCATTAAACTAGACATACCCAGTTCCTGTGCTTAGGGAACATGGTATAGTCCATAACTGGGACAGGGAAGAGAGATAGAGACCTACACACATATATGGGGTTCAACTCTAAGCAGTAAATTTCTGAACAAAGAAGAGTCTTAGGTTTACCTATTCGTCCTGACATGACGCAAATGTAGATGCAGTCTGTATCGTTGCTCTGGCTCACTGAAAGAAGACAGTTTTTATTATTTATTATTAATTCAATTTATATGCCGCCTTTCTCCGGAGACTCAGGGCGGCTTACAATGCATTTTTTAAAAAACCATTATAAAAACATTTAAAAATTAAAACATTAAAATCCATTCGCACCATTCATGGCCGGATCTCACAAGATCGCAACAGGGAAATCAACGGCCCCAGGCCTGCCGGAAAAGCCAGGTCTTCACCGCTTTTCGGAAGGCCAATAGGGTGAGGGTAGTCCGGATCTCATGAGGTAACTGGTTCCAGAGAGCTGGGGTAGCCACAGAGAAGGCCCTCCACCACGGGCCCGCCAGCTGGCATTGTTTAGCTGACAGGACCCAGAGGAGACCAACTCTGTGGGATGTTACTGGTCGCTGAGAGCTATGCGGTAGAAGGCGGTCTCGAAGATAACCTGGCCCTGAGCCACGTAGGGCTTTAAAGGTAATAACCAACACCTTGAATTGTGCCCAGAGACCAATAGGGAGCCAGTTTCATTGTTTTCATTAACTTATTTAAGGTTCCTTAAACTGGAACTAAAACCTAAACAGAAGCTAATTTTCAATTCGCATACGGAAGGAAATAAGAAAAACTAAAAAAAAAAAAAAAAACCTCAAACCATTAACTCTCTAAGGTTCTAAAATCAAAATGCCTCAAATGCCAACGGATAACAAGAAACTAATACTTACCTATAATTTCTTAAATGCAAAAGGAAATGATTTGGGGGAGGGTTAGAGTTTTAGCCTGATTTTTCCCCCCCCTGAAATTGCTTTCTTTGCTTGGTTCTACAGTTAAAGGATTGAGATATGGACTGGAAAGAATGCTGGCTTGATTCTATTGTGGAAAGCCATCCTCCGTGGAATCCAAGGGGGCTTTTTTGTGGCCTGTCAGCCACCGGACCCTCCAGCAGCCGAATCAGAGGAAGAGGTGGCGTGGGAGTCAGGATCAGCATCAAGGCAACCTGAGAGATCTGAGGAGGAAGGGGGAATGGAGCTTCAGAGAGAGAGACAGAGGTGGAGCCTGGGCCGTCTGTCAGCCCTCAGATGGAGAGTCAACAGCCCCCAGGTCTGGAGGTGGCTGATGAGGAAGAGGAGGAACAGCTGGGTCCAGTGCCTGACATGCAGATGTGCAGAAGGCAGAGGAGAGGAGAGCAGTGGAAATCTATGGGCTGGTCCTTGGGACGGAAGAGCCACCACTGCTAGCGAAGCCCCACCCTAGCTCTGGGGATAAAAGGCAGGGGGCAGAGATGAATAGGTGTGGCAGACAACTATTCCCTGCCAGACAGACTGCATTGAGAGAGAAACTTTTTGCCGGGGCTCCTGGCGCTCGTAATAAAGGAATCTTTGAGTTAACTTCAGAGGGTTTGTCGTGTTTGGACAGCTGGGTCAGAACAGGCTTACATTAAAACTGCACAGATTTAAATTTTATTAAAACTGTACTAAAACTGAAACCAAGGGAGCAAAGAGATGGATGTGTCTCCTTACCCTGTCAGCCAAATATTCTTTCCTAAATTACATTCCCTTCTTCCTCATTTGGTTAATCTATGTGGAATAAAATGAGTATTGGATTGATCAGCCAAAGAAACAGCAACATTTTTTTTTTTACCTGACACAATGGAAGTCGACTTGAAAATCTCAGTAAGATAACTGGTGGAGTTTCCCACAATGTCCACCAGCAATGCTGTAAAATCTAGAAAAGTAAAGAGGCGCATTTTGACATTCCCATATTGTCCTTTCTTCCCATAGAAGACAATATCTAAAGGTCAGGATTGAACTGCGGAATCCTTGAGGGTCTCTGAACTTGGATGTTTGCTTGCAGACATTTCATTACCCAACTCGGTAATATCATCAGTGTTGATGTTGTTACCAAGTTAGGTAATGAAACATCTGCAAACAAACAGCCAAGCTCAGAAACCACCAAGAATTCCACGGTTTTCTTACTACTGTGGAAGCAGAGAAAGCGTGGATTCAAAAACCTAAAAGACAAGTTGCGATAAACGAATTTGCATAGAACCTATGGACAAAGCCTGCTACCTTCACCTTGGAAAATAGACTGTTGTGGGATCACTGAACACAAAGATTAGTTTACATGGTTCAGAACCTTCAATCTGTTTTCAAGTTTTCAAGGCTGTTTAAACATGCGGTATTCCTTTGTTGGAAGTAAATTCCAGCTGCATCGTACTTTTTTCTCTTTTTAATTTCTTTGATAGCAGGCTTTAAATTGGTAAATCCAAGGTAGAACTATGCTGACATATAAGGTCTTTGCATAAACTATTGCTTAGTTCTCCCCCCCAAAAAAACTATTTTTTTTTTAGTTTTAATATAGTTTAATTTGATTTTCTTTGAACTCTGGTGCTGGAGAAGACTCCTGCAAGTCCCTTGGACTGCAAGGCGATCCAACCGGTCAGTCCTAGAGGAGATCAATCCTGACTGCTCTTTAGAAGGCCAGATCCTGAAGATGAAACTCAATTACTTTGGCCACCTAATGAGAAGGAAGGACTCACTGGGGAAGAGCCTCATGCTGGGAACAATTGAGGGCAAAAGAAGAAAGGGACGACAGAGAAGGAGGTGGCTGGATGGAGTCACTGAAGCAGTCAGCGTGAGCTTAAATGGACTCCGGGGGATGGTAGAAGACAGGAAGGCCTGGAAGAATGTTGTCCATGGGGTCACGATGGATCGGATATGACTTCAAAATAACAACAGCAAAATTTAGTTTTAATATAAATCATTTGAAAATCTATATTGTACGGAGAAGATATGGGGAGGGTGATTGAGGAGTGAGTATTTGATTTAGTTAATCAAATACCAATAATCAGTGGTGAAATCCAAATTTTTCTACTACCGGTTCTGTGGGTGTGGCTTAGTGGGTGTGGTGTGGCTTGGGTGTGGCAGGGGAAGAATATTGCAAAATTTCCATTCCTACCCCACTCTGGGGCCAGCTAGAGGTGGTATTTGCCGGTTCTCCGATCTACTCAAAATTTCCGCTACCAGTTCTCCAGAATCTGTAGGAACCTGCTGGACTTCACCCCTGCTAGTAACCTTAATGTTCATATATGTTGTTTACAAAAATCTATTCTATTCTTAACAAGAAAAAATGCTAACATTTACTGAGGGTATAAGAAAAAAGAAACAATTAGGAAGAATGTTCTTTTTCTTTTTTACTTTTCCACCTCTTAGTGGCAATATATTGCCTGCATGAAACTATAATCACTGAAAAATTACATCTCTTTTGAACTTCTCCTATTTCACAACTTGCCTGTTAAGTCGTTAGTCCTGTTGTTTAGGCAGTAGCAGTATCGTGTGGAGAACTTGGTAGGATCTATGTTCCTTAAGCTGGATACTGTGAAGAAAAAATATTATGGAACATAAAATCTTATCCACCAAAAGAATAAGGGAGCCAGTTTGGTTAAGGGGCTGAACTAGAAACCAGAAGACTGTGAGTTCTAGTCCTACCTTAGTCATGAAAGCTGTCTGGGTGACTTTGGGCCAATTACCAGGAGATGGAGAGTTCTAGTCCCACTTTAGGCATAAAAGCTGGCTGGGTGACTTTGGGCCAATCACCAGGAGGTGGAGAGTTTAGTCCCACCTCAGGCATGAAAGCTGGCTGGGTGACTTTGGGCCAATCACCAGGAGGTGGAGAGTTCTAGTCCCACCTTAGGCATGAAAGCCGGCTGATGACTTTGGGCCAATCACCAGGAGATGGAGAGTTCTAGTCCCACTTTAGGCATAAAAGCTGTCTGAGTGACTTTGGGCCAATCACCAGGAGATGGAGAGTTCTAGTCCCACTTTAGGCATGAAAGCTGGCTCGGTGACTTTGGGTTAATCACCAGGAGATGGCGAGTTCTAGTCCCACCTCAGGCATGAAAGCCAGCTGAGTGACTTTGGGCCAATCACCAGGAGATGGAGAGTTCTAGTCCCACTTTAGGCATAAAAGCTGTCTGGGTGACTTTGGGCCAATCACCAGGAAGATGGAGAGTTCTAGTCCCACTTTAGGCATGAAAGCTGGCTCGGTGACTTTGGGTTAATCACCAGGAGATGGCGAGTTCTAGTCCCACCTCAGGCATGAAAGCCAGCTGAGTGACTTTTGGGCTTTGGGCAATCACCAGGAGATGGAGAGTTCTAGTCCCACTTTAGGCATGAAAGCTGACTGGGTGACTTTGGGCCAGCCCAACTCAACTTCACAGTATTGTTGTCATAGGGAAAATAAGAGGAGGAAGGAGTATTAGATATTTTACCATTTTGAATTACTTATAAAAAGGATAAAGGCAGGATATAAACAAACAAAAACTCTATTAGGTGGTCCCAATTATCATTAACTTACTGTTGTAGAGGACAATGGAAACTTTGTGGAAGGCATACGAACTATAAGATACGATGCTCAGCAAAGAGAAGAACTCTTTAGTTCCTGTGGAAATACGATTTAAAAACAATCACCCTACTCATAATTAAAAGAGCTGCATGGAAACTAATTTTCTATCCCTCTTATGTAGGGCTGCTAAAATGCCTCGTGAATACTTTAGCACCACAGGAATCCATAATACATTTCACTCCCTGAGGTTCTGATCAAATTTATTCTCTGGAATCCCCTGGTGACTAGAGAAGAAAGATGCTGCTGTGTCAGCAACCCAGCAAGAGATGGAGAATTGGCAGGTAGGACTCAGAGTTGGGTAGATTTGGGGGAAATGCATTGAGTACAAGGATGCTTGCAAATAAATATTTATGGAGTTTGCAGGCGGAGCAGGTGCAGTCTTTAAATATTGTCGTGTTCCAGGTGATGCCATCAGATTTCTGACTGTTGTGGTCCGCCAGCAGCCTGCAGAGCTGGCAGTGGAGTTGGACAGTGAGGGGGCTGGGGACGAACATGGGCCAGTTCTGGAGTCTGGGGAAGGCCTGGATGAGGGCTCTGTATCAGAAGCAGAGATGGGGCCAGGGCCATCTGGGAGTGATGCGCGGACTCCGGAGCCCCCAGAGTTGGACAGCAGAGAGGCAGAGGAACAGGAGGAGCCTGTTCCTAGTGCACGCATGCGCAGAGCTGCCAGAAAGCAAGAGCAGCTAAAGCAAAAGGGACAACTCAGGAGTAAGGCCAGGATATGATTGGCCCCTCCCATAAGGCTTAAAAGAGAAACACAGATACTTGGGCCTTTTGCAGGAAAGTAACGTTGCTAACTCTGTTTCCAGTCAGCATCTCTTGCTTTTTTCTGAACTTCGTGGGGCTTTGCCAAGTAAGGCCTTCGGCAAGGTATCAAAGAAAGGTTGGTGATAATCCCGAAGGACTTCTTGTTTTGCAGCTAATTGGGACTCGGCTGGGAATGAACATAATTCTCAGCTGTTACAATAAAATAGGTTTGTTTGGGACTAATTGTATATTGTAATTACTCAGTAAGCCTAGGTCACAACACTGACTTTGAAACGTCAAGACATAACAGAGCTCTTTTACATTCATTTGGGAGTCGGTCCACATTATATAGAAGTCATGGTGGCGCTGTGGTTAGAATGCAGTATTGCAGGCTAACTCTGCCCACTGATAGGAGTTTGATTCTGATCTATGTTCTGACTGGTTTCCAAGTAGTGATAAGATGTCTACTCACGAGTAAAACAAGCCCCCTTTTTATAACAGGGCAGTAATAGTCATTTATTCATATAATAATATCACATTATCACACTTAATAAACAAAAAATCGCAAGAGCCTGTAATACAGATGACTAAGCACTGTTATTAACATCTGCTGCTTGCAATTACTGCAAGTTCAAATCTCACCAGGCTCAAGGTTGACTCAGCCTTCCATCCTTTCAAAGGTAGATGAAATGAGGACCCAGATTGTGGGGGCAATAAGCTGACTTTGTATAAATATACAAAAGTATGAAGGCTATTGCTTAGCGCATTGTAAGCCGCCCTGAGTCTCCGGAGAAGGGTGGCATATAAATTAAAGCAAAAAAAAAAAAAATCAAACATAATTAGTCCCAACAAATCTGGGTTTAGGCAAGAAATCCAAATTGCTTGCTGTATGCTAGAAACCAATGATTGTCTACAACAACTAGCCATTCCCAAACCCCTCCTATTTATTTCCCAGCCAGGGAGAGGCTGGCTATCTGCGTCTCCCTCCCCCTGAGAGCCAGCTTACTGCTTTCCTTTCCTCTCTGTGCATACGTGCATCTGGGATGGGCCTCATCTTTTCCTCCCCCTCACTCAGCTCAGGACCCAAAGACATCTGCCTCTCCACCTGGAGGAGGACGGAAAGCCCCAGCTCTGCCTCTGTCTCTGATGCTGTTTCCTTATCAGAGCCTTCCAAAGGTTGCAAAGCTGGCCCAGGTTCTCCCTCGATGTCCTCCTGGTCAGACTTTGCTGCTAGCTCTGCTGGCAGCCGACGGGCCACAACAACCAGCTCAAGTTTAACTCAGACTTCCATCCTTCCAAGGTTGGTAAAATTTGGTAACCCAGATTGTTGAGGGCAAAAGGCTGGCTCTGTAAACCACTTAGAGAGGACTGTAAAGCATTATGAGGCAATATATAGCATAGTTTTCAGAGTATAAGACACACTTCCCCACCCCACAAAAAATGAGGGTGGAAATGTTGGTGCATCTTATACACCAAATACAGCCATTTTTGGCCTCCTGAAACCCCACCCCGTGCATCCCATTTTTGTGAAAACTGCCCTCTTTTTCACAAAAATGGGGTGCGCAGAGGGTTTGGGAGGCCTATAGAGTGCTCCTGGGGGCTGGGGAGGGCAAAAACCGGAGGCACGGAGGCCAAAAACTTTTTTTTTCTTGTTTTCCTCTTTGAAATTTTGGTGCGTCTTATACTTCGGTGCGTCTTATAGTCCTAAAAATACAGTAAGTCTAACGGCTATTGCGATTGCTATATTTTCTTGGTAAGGACAAGAGGTTAGAGCAGGGTTTTGGCCAGTGGCTTCACTTCATATGCATTTCTCTTTTCCTATTTCTCTGTCTGCCGGTTGAATGTGGTTCACCGAAGAGAAAAAAGTCATCAAATGAGAAGCTACCTCTGAGAGCGGTGTTTAGCATGCCATTCACCATCCCCGTCAGGTTCATCGCTGCCAGATCAACCAATTTTGCAGGGAGCTCTGAAAAGGACAAGTACAGATAGTCCTTGATTTGCAACCATTCCCTTTAGTGACCGTTCCAAGTTACAACGGCATTGAAAAAAATTGACTTATTACCATTTTTCACACTTACCACCATTGTAGCATCCCAGGGGTGGTAGTCACTTACCTTCACTACCGGTTCGCAAATGTGAGTGCACGCATGTGCGTGCTCAATTTGCTCGCACATGCCACCTCCATGCATGGGCAGGGCCTTCCGTGCATGCGCAGAGCATCAAAAATGTGGATAAATGGGATGTGATTACATTCAGACGGGTGGGCGGAGCCACCCACAGCCACCGCTACCAGTTTGCCCGAACCGGATAGAACCGGCTGAATACCACCACTGAAGCATCCCCATGGGTCAAGAGATGCTCGGCAACTAGCTCATATTTATGACGGTTACAGTTGTGACCTTCTGACAAGCAAAGTCAACGGGGAAGCCAGATTCACTTAACAACCATGTTACTAATTCAGCAATGCTAGTGATTCGCTTAACAACCATGACAAGAAACGTTGTAAAATCTTACTGGGCAAAACTCACTTAACAACTGTCTTGCTCAACAACAAAAGTTTTGGGCTCCTTTGTGATCATAAGTCGAGGACAACCTGTACGCAATGCTGACATTCAGTGTTAACCACATGATTTATAATATCACCTCCTAAATTGTACCCATGTCCCATCATGCGCTGACTGCCCCATCATGCACCGGGCCATGTCCCATTATGCACTGTTTCCTGGATGGAGAAGTGCAAGGATAAAGACCTATTTATCAGATTTCTACCTCACTGAACTACACACCAGAGCAGTGGTCGGATTCAGCCGGTTTGGGCCAGTTCAGGCGAACTGGTAGTTAAATTGGTGACTGGCCCCACCCTTTCCCACCCCGCCCCTTCCAGGTGTCCCCACACACCCCATTTTGGCTCCCAGGTAAGTACAGGGAGGCCTCCTAGGCCCAAAACGGGGCACTGGGGGTACGTCCCCCCGCGACCCATTTTTGCTCCCAGGGGGGTGTAGGAGGCCAAGTGCTGCCTGTCACACCCCCTGGCCACACCCACCATGGCCACGCCCACCCAGCCAATCATTAGGGCAGAGAACCAGTTCTTAAATTATTTGAATCCCACCCCTGCCCCAGAGGCATCGTGAATTGAGAAGTTTTGTCAAAAAATGGCCAGAATTCTCAGTTTCGATTTAAAGTCTCAGCTCAACAGGCCATACAACATAGGATGAATATGGACTGTTGATGTTCTGGCTCCTGATGAGTGTGGGAAAAAATTCCAGGTGCTCCAATGAGAGATGGGAAATATCCTGGCTACTACTACATTTGTGTTGGAAGCACCTGCCAAGGCCCTTCCAGGTTGAAAGGACTACCCAATAATATCACCATTGCCCAGGGGAGGCCCGAGGGGGCTCCATTTGTGTCCCTGTTATTCTCCCTCTGAAGTGGTACTTATTTATCTACTTGCACGTGCATGCTTTCAAACTGCTAGGTGGGCAAGAGCTGGGACAAATGAATGGGAGCTCATTCCGTCACGCGGCTCACTCTGGGGTTTTGAACTGCTGAGCTGTTGACCTCTCAATGGTCTTTTTTTTCTCAGCGTCCTAACCACATGAGCCACCACGGCCCCATATGTGCTGGCTAAAGCCCTGGAGATCTGCTAGGATCCTCTTTTGGCAATATTGGGCTATAGGCAGCAGTCACTGCCTGATCACCAGTTTGCACCATTTGGGGCATGCATGCAATGTCAGAATGCACATAGAAAAGGGTTTGCACTATGGCCATGAAACATTGTTTGCTTTACTCTGACACCACACACCCCTCCTCCTCCTTCCTCCTCCTCTTTTTCTTAACGGAATAACAGAGTTGGAAGGGACCTTGGAGGTCTTCTAATCTAGTCCAACTCCCTGCTCAGGCAGGAAACCCTATACCATTTCAGACAAATGAACTCTTTTCTTTTTCCTCTTCTTCCCTTTCCCCTTCCCCTTCCTCCTCCTTCCTCTTCCTCTTCTTCCTCCTCCTCCTCCTCCTCCTCTTCTTAACAGAATAACAGAGTTTCTTTTTCTTCTTCCCCTTCCTCTTCCTCTTCCTCCTCTTCTCCTCCTCTTCTTCTTCCTCCTCTTCCTCCTCCTCCTTCCTCCTCCTCCTCTTTTTGTTAATGGAATAACAGAGTTGGAAGGGACCTTGGAGGTCTTCTAATCTAGTCCAACTCCCTGCTCAAGCAGGAAACCCTATACCATTTCAGACAAATGAACTCTTTTCTTCTTCTTTTCCTCTTTTTCCCCTTCCTCTTCTTCCCATTCCCCTTCCTCTTCCTCTTCCTCCTCTTCTCTTCCTCTTCCTCTTCCTCTTCCTCCTCCTCTTCTTTTCTTCTCCTCTTCCTCCTCCTCTTCTTTTTCTTCTTCCTCTTCCTCCTCCTCCCTCTTCTTAACAGAATAACAGAGTTTCTTTTTCTTCTTCCCCTTCCTCTTCCTCCCATTCACCTTCCTCTTCCTCTTCCTCCTCTTCCTCTTCTTCTTCCTCCTCTTCCTCCTCCTCCTTCCTCCTCCTCCTTTTCTTAACAAAATAACAGAGTGGGAAGGGACCTTGGAGGTCTTCTAATCTAGTCCAACTCCCTGCTCAGGCAGGAAACCCTATACCATTTCAGACAAATGAACTCTTTTCTTTTTCCTCTTTTTTCCCTTCCTCTTCCCCTTCCTCTTCCTCTTCCTCTTCCTCTTCTTCCCCCCTCCTCCTCCTCCTCCTCCTCCTCCTCCTCCTCCTCCTCCTCCTCCCTCCTCCTCCTCTCTCTCTTCTTCTTCTTCTTCTTCTCTTCTTCTTCTTCTTCTTCTTCTTCTTCTTCTTCTTCTTCTTCTTCTTCTTCTTCTTCTTCTTCTTCTTCTTCTTCTTCTTCCTTGTGTTTCTAGTTTGACATCACCATCTCTCATGATGAGAATATCCAGGAAGGGTAACATGGTGTTTTCTTCTTCTTCTTCTTCCCATATACACAAACACACACACACACAAGTGCCTATCTATCAAGTTCATACACCCAAAAGTGACATATGTGTGCATGCAGGTATGAATGTTTGTGCAGAAAAGCAAAAATGAATGAGACCATTAAGGTAGGTTAGCAAAGGAAAAGATTTTATAAATCCGGCTGCATATTTCTTATTGGCTACTTAATATGTAATGCATAAATTTGGTTTCTGCTCGTGGGAAACACATCCCGATCCCTAAATCGCCTTGAATGACTACCAGACAAGAATTAAAAAGAGTGATAAGCAGCTGTGGAAAAATATTACGGTCTGCTTGCTATGTCAGAGAATAATCATAATTTTCTTACAATGCCGTTGCTGATTATTGTCTAATTCTGCCACCGTTGCAACAATTCTGCCTTTTCTAATTCAGAACACGTCTGCAGAAAGACGGGGAGGAAATTAGTTCTTTGACAAGAATTTACCTGCGGTTGCCATTACAACAACTCGCTCTTCTTTCTTATTTTCTCTCTTTGTGCTTCCAGCTGCAAAAAAAAAAAAAAAGAAAGAAAGAAAGAAAGAAACCATAGTATCAATTTCTGAAGAAAATATATCCCCGCTGTCCCTCTGTTTTGAAAAAATAATAATATTAATGTATAAAATATCTTGTCCAAAAACAGTCATTTATTAGATGCGGAATCAAAATTATGGCATTAATAATATCATTTTCTGGGGGTGGGGAGGATGACTACTACACCAAGTAAATGAAAGATTCAGCAATTACATTGTCAACATTCAAATTTAATTAATATTAATCTTGGTTAGGTTTTTTTTTTCCCTGATGTATCATGCTGGTTTAGCCCATCCCTTTTGGCTGGTTTATTATTCAATATTTTGTGAAGCAAAGGATTGCAGGGTCATTAAAAGAAAAAAAAAATTGTGTGAGCCCATGTTCTGTCTCCGTACCTCACACGCACCCCCACAGACGGCCCGGAGTTAATAAGCCACACGACAAAACTCTTTGAAGATAAAGCTGGCAGCAACCCAGTGGCTAGCTGCCAATTCAGACTTTACTCACACAAAACAAAGATTAGACTGCAAGCATTCCGAAAAAACAGGCAGAGTTTCAACAATACAAGGATGAATCCAAATGCAGTCCGATAAAGCAGGCAAAGTCCAGTAACGCAGAGATCATGGATTATTTCCAGTTTTTGCTCGTCACAAACTGAACCGGCCACCACACCCACATTTATACCCTGTGGGGTGTGGTCCAGTGACTCATCTAATCTCTGGCATGCCTTCCCCTCTGCTGCGCACACTTCTCCCTGCGCCTCTGCCGAGGGTCTAGCCAGTACTTATCTTCTTCGTCGCTGTCCACCTGTGGCTGCCTATCATTTGGCCTTCGGTGTCCTCCGGAGGCATTGCCAGAGAGGAGGGTCCTGGAGAGGGAGGCCTTGCCAACTCCTCTCCCTCACTCTCAGAGTCTGCATCTGAGCCCAGGCTCAGGCAACGGAGCCACAACAGCCCACCACATAACCAGGGGTGGGCTGTTGGGGGTTCGCAAGGGTTTGGGATAATCTCTAGCTAAGATTCTGTGCAGTCAGGAAAACCCCCCAAATTCCATTCCTGGCTGGCCTCAGCCATCCTGCCCCTCCCCTCCCAGGAGTCCCCATGTGGCCTGTTTTGGATGCAGGTAAGTGGAGGGTGCACAAGGAGGCTCAGGGAGGGCGAAAAACAGGCCTACCAGAAGTTTGGGAAGGGCCTCCGGAGCCTGGGGAGGCCGTTTTTGTCCTTCCGGAGGCTCGAGGAAAGCCTCCGGAGCCAGGGGAGGGCAGAAATCCTCTCTCCCCCACCGTGGTGCAGGAAGCCGACTAGGCCACGCCCACCATGGCTACACCTACCCAGCAACTGGGCAGAGAACCCCTTGCTAAAATTTTTGAGGCCCACTCCTGAACATAATTCTATTATGAAAACACAGCCATAGCTTGTTACTTACCCAAGCTTGATACAAAGCAGAAGTATAAAAAGATGATGGATAAATTCACACCACCACGCATTTTGGAATCTGCTTTTCTGAGAAATTATCTGGAGAAAGAGAAGAGAGACAAAAGGAAACACGGTGAATCTGACAGAAATGGCTTAAGCAAAATGGCCGCTGTTTATTATTCGGTTAACAAAAATACCACTGCAATAAAAGAGAGATACCACTAGCGTGTGTTTTTTTTTCAAACTTGCTGACGTTTAAGATGTGTGGATTTCAGCAGCCAGAATTCCCTAACCAGCAGTTCTGGTTTACAATAAGATTGTTAGGAACACCGTAAACCCTTTACTGATCATAGGTGTCAAAATTCACTGTGATAAACTGCAGTTCTTCAGTTTTGGTATAACAGGTCTAGGTGTTGAGACAAGAGACCTGAAGTTTAGTATGTATGCATGTATGCATGCATGCATGTATGTTTGTATAAACAGTGGAGGTCCTCAAGGCTAAAACTTCACCATACCAATAATAGCCTTTCTGGAAACAGCTTGGATGGATGGATGGATGGATGGATGGATGGATTGAAACCTATGCCCTATCCTCAATCCAATTGGATTCAAAATAGTTTACAGTACAGTTATATGCAATAAGGTATAGTGCCAAAGGTGTTTTTTCAAGAGGCAAAGTTTTTTCAAGACTTTCTGGTTTTTCTTTGAAGACGTTTCACTTCTCCTCCAAGAAGCTTCTTCAGCTTCTTGAGAAAGAAATACATGCCATTACTTAGGATTGAAATCTCAACATTTGAGCGTCTTGACCATTAGAAGTCTTGGCCATTAGGCTATGATGCCACTCCTACACACAGACACTCCTACACACACAAACAAACATATACAGGTAGTCCTTGACTTACGACCACAATTGAGCCCAAAATTTATGTCGTTAAGTGAGTTTTGCCCCATTTTATGATTTTTCTTACCACATTTGTTAAGCGACTCACTGTAGTTCCTAAATTGGCTTCCCCCTTGACTTTGCTTATCAAAAGGTTGCAAAAAGGGATCACATGACCCCGGGACACTGCAACCGTCTTAAGTACATGCCAGTTGCCAAGCATCTGAATTTGGATCACGTGACCATGGGAATGCTGCAACAGTCATAAATGTGAAAAAATGGTTATAAGTAATGGTGGACTTCAGCCGGTTCACACCGGTTTGGGTGAACTGATTGTTAACTTACCCCGCCCCCTGCTATCAAAGTGGATTCTGGGCACCGCGCTGCAATGGAGAAACAGGCAACAGAGCAGCCAGCATGAAGGAAGGAGAAGGCTGATTTTGCTCTTTCTTCTCCCTGCTCCTCCTCCTTCCCTCGTGCCGGCCGCTCCATTGCCTATTTCTCCATTGCAGTGCAGTGCCCAGGATCCACTTTGATAGGAGGGGGTGTGTGTGTAATCAAACAACCAGTTTTCTCAGGGTCAGGTTGGGCCACGCCTCCCACGACAGCCTGGGTGAACTGATTGTTAAATTATTTGAATCCCACCACTGGTTATAAGTCACTTTTGTAAGATGAGGATCATCTGTATAAACAGAAATAAGTTAATGTTACGTTAGTTGGACATTCCTTCTTTTCCAGTCCAGAAATCCCAGAAGATCTTCTGCTGGATCTCTTCACCAGTTGCTATCCTGAGCACAGCATCGCACATACCACAACAGAGCGAAGATATCCACTATAAAGGTAAAGGTAAAAGTTCCCCCTCGCACATATGTGCTAGTCGATCCCGACTCTAGGGGGCGGTGCTCATCTCCGTTTCAAAGCCGGAGAGCCAACACTGTCCGAACACGTCTCCGTGGTCATGTGGCCGGCATGACTAAATGCCAAAGGTGCACGGAACGCTGTTACCTTCCCACCAAAGGTGGTCCCTATTTTTCTACTTGCATTTTTTTATGCGCTTTCGAACTGCTAGGTTGGCAGAAGCTGGGACAAATAACGGGAGCTCACCCCGTTACGTGGCACTAGGGATTCGAACTGCTGAACTGCCGACCTTTCGATCGACAAGCTCAGTGTCTTAGCCACTGAGCCACTGTGTCCCTTTTATATCCACTATGGTACTGCTAATTACATTATACACCAAAGATAATCCTTTTACAGCTAAAGATTGTTGAAGACAGACTGGAAATAGCACATTAAAAAAAGAAGATAATCACTTTAGGGATATTCTGCATGAATCAATTTCAGATCTGAAGCAATCATCTCCATCCCTGGACATTTAAAGGCAGCTAAAATGCTCTTAAGTTATCATCAGGGCAAAACAGATCCACAGATCAAAAAGCATGATTAAAATAAAATCCCTGGTCAGGTTGCTCCCCAGGTGCTGTAAAATAGCCTCTCTGTTTGGCGGGACAATTATCCAAGTCTCTGAATTATTGGGGCATTTGGGGGAATGAATGAAGGAAAGATAAAGGGCAAGGAAAATGCCTTTGAAGTTCTATCGCCAGGAAAAATGAATCCGTCTGTCAGAAGATATTTCTCGTCTGTTCAAGTCGTGTTCTGAGCATTTTGATCTGACTGAATGTTTTCCCCAGTTTGAAATATTATGAATTGTTCATGAAAACAGGCTGCAAGCAATTTTTTTTAAGAAGGATCTCATTTTCTGGGGAAGTAGAGTTAATCTGCATTTTTTTTTATTTTCAGGAAAGGACTTAAAACCAGGCCTTTCAACTGCTTTTATTGGGTTTTCAAAAAAATCCATTATTTTATTTCATTCACCAACCGAAATATTCCATGGACCAAAAGCTAGTGTATAAATCAAAATAAGAAAATGAGAAATAAATACACAACAAGGAGGGAGGGAGGAAGGAAGGAGAAAGAGGGAAGAAGGATGGGGAGGGAGGGAGGGAGGAAGGAAGGAAGGAGAGGGAGGGAAAAAGGATGGGGAGGGAGGAGAGGGAGGAAGAAGGAAGGAAGGAGAGGGAGGAAAGGAGAGGGAGGAAAGGAGGGAAGGAGGGAAGGAAGGAAGGAAGGAAGGAAGGAAGGAAGGAAGGAAAGAGATGGAGAGAACTCTTAAAAGGCCAAAGAGTAGAAGTACCTGTGGAGAAGGGTCAAAAGAGCCCAGAAGCTATTTATGAAACCCGACCTATTTTTTTATATATATATCACACATCAAAAATGACAGGGCTTTGATTACGCAATCACAATCGCAATTGCCCTTTTGGCTGTTTTGACACACCTGCATCCCATAGATGCCCCTTTGAAATGAGGACTGAAAATGCTCTGGACTCTGTGAATCTCTTATGGGAATAAAATAGGAAACTAAGGAGAAGGGAGGATAGCATGGGGCATTGTGGGGAGGCGAGGGCTAACTGAGTGACATGTTAAACAAAAGCAATTAACCTTGCAAGATATTGTCGCAAAGCAGAGCTTTAGGGTGAGGTGATCAGGGGGCCCTTTGATCAATAGAACCAGCAGATGATCTTCTTCTTCTTCTTCTTCTTCTTCTTCTTCTTCTTCTTCTTCTTCTTCTTCTTCTTCTTCTTCTTCTGATTCTGATTCTGATTCTGATTCTGATTCTGATTCTGATTCTGATTCTTCTTCTGATTCTTCTGCTTCTGATTCTGATTCTTCTTCTTCTGCTTCTTCTGCTTCTTCTGCTTCTGCTTCTTCTGCTTCTGCTTCTGCTTCTTCTGCTTCTTCTGCTTCTTCTGCCTTCTCTTCCTTCTCCTTCTCCTCCATCTCCTTTAGGTGTCAAGAAAGACACAAAGTTCTGGCTCTTGCTCTTCTGGTGGCCTCAGCCATTTTTAATTGTTGTCTTAATGTGGTGTCTCCACCTATTTCTTGGTCTGCCTCATGTTCTTTGACCTTCTCCTCTTTTTTGTATATGCCAAAGCAACAGATGCTCACACAAGCATTGGCCTTTCAAGGGAATCCATACAAGAAGTGTATATCAGGAGTGCTAGCTCTATCTTTATTGTACGGCTACATTAAAGGAATGTTTCAAATCTGAAAGTGCTCCTCCAGGCCCTCTACCTTTTACTCTCCCCAAAACTTGGGAGGGTCTTTTCTGAGTCACTTTCTCCATTCTTTTTCTTTCGGCCTCAAATTTCATTTATCAGACAATTGTCTGGGTTGCAGTTCTTCCTCTGTCTCCCAAGGTCATTTGCATTACAGCTAGACCTTGACTGTTTGATGTTATAATGGGCTCCCCGAAAGATACTTATGATCCAGTTCTGACAGCCACCCCAAATTCCCCCCCCCCCCATTGTGAGCCGCAGTGGCGCAATGGTTAGAGTGCAGTACTGCAGGCTACTTCTGCTGATCACTGGCTACCTGCAATTTGGCAGTTCAAATCCCACCAGACTCAAGGTTGATTCAGCCTTCCATTCTTCCGAGGTGCGTAAAATGAAGGACCAGATTGTTGGGGGCAAGAAGCTGATTCTGTAAATTGCTTAGAGAAGGCTGCAACTGTACTGCAACTGCACTGTAAAGTGGAATATAAGTCCACTTTATATTCCATAAGACTTAGAATATAAGTCTAAGTGCTATTGCTATTGTCACATGACCATACTTAGACCATACTCAACAACCAACCCATATTTACAGTCGTTTGCAGTGCTCTATGTCCACATGACCACAATTTACAACATTTTGGCCAAAGACCAGCATTCATCTCCATTTTTTTGGCAAAGAAATGCCCCATAGCAAACAGTGGAATAGTGGAACATTTGTTTAACAGCTGCAGCATTTGCATTACAACCACCATGTTTGCTTAATGATGACTCCAAAAAAAGTCACCAATTCGGATCCAGTCACATGATAACCAGAGGTGGGTTTCAGCAGGTTCTGACCAGTTCTGGAGAACCGGTAGTGGAAATTTTGAGTAGTTCGGAGAATCGGTAGGAAAAATTCTGACTGGTCCCGCCCCCATCTATTCTCTGCTTCCCAAATCCCAGCTGATTGGGATGAAATGGGGATTTTACAGTATCCTCCCCCTGCCATGCCCACCAAGCCACGCCCACCAAGCCACACCCACAGAACCGGTAGTAAGAAATTTTGAAACCCACCACTGATGATAACCCACTTTAAAACATCATAACTTACAACTGTAATGGGCAAGCTCCATTACGGTTGCAAGTCAAGGATTACCTATACACCAAACCATAAGGAAGATGGATATTTAGAATTTTAGAATTCTTTCTTGGCCATGTGTGATTAGACACACCTAGGAATTTGTCTCCAGTGCATAAGCTCTCCATGTACGTACAAAAATAATGATAGATCATTATCATAGCCATTGTAAAAATACAATAATCATAAAACATTAGATGCAACATTTAGTGATAGTCATGGATACTAAATAAGCAATCAACATAAATCATACTAGGATACTATGTCAACAATATAAATTGTAAGATGCAAGCAACAAAGTTATAATCATAAGAAGACTAAATAAATAATATTATATATTATATATAAATAACTTCAATAATACAAATAGGGTGCATAAGTCCTTTCTTTTTTTTCTTTTTCACACAGAAATATCCCCTGAGTTTTTGAGCAGCATGGCAAATCCGTACTCCAAAAAACCGACAGGCCAAAGATAGGAATGAATTAGCACTGAATTACATAGCTTTGAGCGCAAATTCACATGAAGAGCAATAACGTTGCAGAAAAATAGATTTTAGTGACAATACCCACAATCTGGCGAGAAGCAAGCCAACATGTTATATATGCACTCTTACATTTTGCAATGATAGCTAGATGAAGACTTATTTGTGATATTGCAACTTTGATAGTCAGGCTATCCAACACTCCTTCATTAAATCAGCATCTCCATAACCTCCATTGCTCATCAGCAGGGTCAGTAACAGTAACGGAGTTGGGAGGGACCTTGGAGGTCATTTAGTCCAACCCCTTGCTCACTCAGGAGACCCATACTAGGGATTCGAACCGCCGAACTGCCAACCTTTCTGATTGACAAACTTAGCCACTGAGCCACCTAGCCAGGCAATGTATACCTGCTTTCTTTTCCATCCTGAACTGGCATATTATTAAGCTATAAAGAGAGATGTGGATGTAATATGAACTGTAGAGCAATATAGATCCAATCTAGAAATAAGGAGAAATTTCACAACAGTGAGAACAATTGACCAGTGCAACGGCTTGCCTTCAGAAGTTATTAGTAAGGGTTTTAGTAAGAGATTGAACAGCCATTTGTCTGGAATGGTACAGGGTCTCCTGCTTGAGCAAGGGGTTGGACTAGAAGACCTCTGAGGTACCTTCCAGTTCTTGTTATTCTTTTCTGTTATTATTTCTTCAAAATTCTGAGTAAATTACCTCACGCTGAGTAAAATTGGTTTTACTTTGGGTCAAGAGTCAAGACACAGAATCCCATTTTCCCTCACGAACAGGGACATTGACTTAAAGCTTGCCACGTGTACTAAAATATATTTTAGAATCTCCCAATAATAGTATTCCTATTAATAGTACTCCCAATAGTATTTCTATTAAGACAAAACTTGTGGAAATTACCAAGGGTAATTTTTATGTCATTTCAAGAAATTATCAAGTCTTCTGGACTTTCTGCTTGAGGTGGTTTAAAAAAATGAAACTTTGTTTTTGGGTTTTATCGATTAGATAGGTTTGTTGTTATAGCAATGGCTAGTTTATATTATGATGTAAAAGTAAAAAGTTGAGGTTTGATCTTATTATCTTATTCTACTGTACCAAAGGGAGTCAAAAGTCAACACTTTTTCTCCCCCCCCCTTTTTTTTCCTACACTTTTCTCTTCTCTTTTCCCACTACTATTTTTCCTACTATTTTCTTTTCTATTTTTGTATTTTATATTATAAATCAATAAAAAGAAATTACCAAAGGCAATTGAGGGTAGGACAAGAAGCTATGGGTGGAAATAAGCAATTTAGAACTAAGGAGAAATTTCCGGACAGTTAGAACAATTAAACAGTGGAACAATTTGCCTCCAGAAGTTGTGAATGCTCCAACACTGGAAGTTTTTAAGAAGATGTTGGATAACCATTTATCTGAAGTGGTGTAGGGTTTCCTGCCTAAGCAGGGGGTTGGACTAGAAGACCGCCAAGGTCCCTTCTGTTATTCTATTCTATTCTATTCTATTCTATTCTATTCTATTCTATTCTATTCTATTCTATTCTATTCTATTCTATTCTTGAAATGACATAAACATCATTCAAAAATATTATTATTTTTATGATACAGTCGTCGAATTATGACCATTCATTCAACGACGGTTGAGAGTTAGAAGATAGGGATTCATGACTGGTTCTAAAAGTTGAGTTAGACTTTCTGATAAGCAGTTTTGGAGAATGAGGGAAAAAGATGGGAAGCTTTCTTATGAAGTTAGACTAGTGTTTTTCAACCTTGGCAACGGACTTCAATTCCCAGAATACCTCAGCCAGTTTTTTTTACCCAGAAATATATTTAAAGTGTCAAGTACAAACCCCATTTGGTATTTTAATGGGTACTTTTGCATCCTTATTGAGCGCGGCATGTTTTGCTCCTCCAGTAAACATAATTAAATTTAAGAGATGGATATACAAATCATCTCTTTTTATGTTATTGTTAAATGAGGAATGTTTTAAGACACCATATTTTCAGTCCATATTTTACTACAGGGTATCTAACAGAAATTGTTTTATTTAAACCCACTCTTTGTTCAGAAATGAGCACAGTTGGTTCTTCAGCTAGCTAATCCTGTATAATGCAGGCGGCAGTCATTTTATACTTCCCAAACTTCTAGATATAAAAATTAGCTATCATAAATTAGTAAGATTGGATTTTATGCACTTTAACATTCTTTAATATATTTCAGCTTGGCGCTTTTGCAAGACTTCAAACGTTTTCCACCCAAAACTTTTCTATAAAAGTTACTGTCGGTTTGAAATTATTTCAGGAAGCAAGAACATTGTTTATTTCAAGAGAATTATTTCTTGAAATTATTTTTCAGTTCAGTTGCTGAAATTATTTATTTTGAGAGAAGTATTTCAAGATGCAGAAGCTTTGCTTTTTCATTCTTGTTTGTTGGTTTTTGTTAAATCAACCTTTAACACTGACTTAGAAGTATGTGTGATATTTTAAAATTTTTCCTGGCCACCAATGCTTCTCTCTTTAAATAGTCACCTTAACACCTTTAACAAGCTGAGCTCCATAGTGGAAGCAGAAAGAAAGTAAATATATCAAGATATATACTGTTCTTTATACATACAAGTTCCCTCTCCTATTTTTCCTACTATTTTCTTTTCTATTTTTGTATTTTATATTATAAATCAATAAAAAGAAATTACCAAAGGCAATTGAGGGCAGGACAAGAAGCTATGGGTGGAAACTAATCAAGGAGAGAAGCAACTTAGAACTAAGGAGAAATTTACATTGACTGTTTCCTAATATGATTCGATTGCTTATTTGCTCCCTATGACTATCATTAGGTGTTGTACCTTATGATTCTTGATGAATGTATCTTTTCTTTTATGTACACTGAGAGTGTATGCACCAAGACAAATTCCTTGTGTGTCCAATCACACTTGGCCAATAAAAAATTCTATTCTATTCAATACTTTTAAGAATCAACAGTTAACTTCTTCAAGGAATGAATCTGCTTTAATCCAGTTTAAGATAAATTCCAATAGTTTTCGCATTAATAATTTTGCCCTGAATTTCATGAAGGAAAGAATCCACTTTCATCCAGTATTTTTAAAAAATCCCAAGACTTTTTAAGCATCAACCGTTTTGCCTGTTAACTTCTTCAAGGAATGAATCTGCTTTAATCCAGTTATAAAGAAATTTCAATACTTTTAAGCATCAATAGTTTTGCCCGTTAACTTCTTCGAGGAATGGATCTGCTTTAATCTGGTTCTGTTTCCTTTGGCAACCTCTCCAGCTGGTTGAATTAAGATAAAGAGATTAATTTCAATTGGGATTTATTGCTTTTCCATGGTTGTGACTCAGCAAATTGGTCAGTGTAACAAACACATGAACTGAATTCAGTGGTATCTTCGTGTTAGAAGCGGCAGCAGTAACAAACTCTCATAACAAGCCACGAAATTATAGTAAAATTAGAGGACGTACTGAGAAGGATCTTCTCTGCCAACGTTCCTGCCTTATTTTGATCTGTCCTATTTTGATATTAAGATGCAAAGGAAGAAAGGCCACCAGCCCCCATTTCAAATCCGTTTCAAAAAAGGAAGATGGAAAGAAGCATCACATTTCTAGAACATGATTCTATTTTATTTCAGCTCAACAGATCCTAGAATTTAAGGATGTAGTGTTAAAATTGACCTCTTTGGATATATTTGTTTAAATTGTATGCCACCCAGAGCTCCTCTCCAAGGGAGCTGGGCGGCTAAGAAGCCCCTCTTCTTCTATCCTATCTCCAAATCTTTTCAGTTTCAGCTTACCTGGCTTTGCGGTTGTGAGCTGCTGTTGACAAATTCTTGCACACGTCGTCTATCAGCAGGACAACCAGAGGATAAAAGAGAACCAGGCTGAAAACCAGTGAGTTTGATAATCTTCTAAAAGAAAAAACGAGGATGTCTCTGAGCAAAGGATGTCACCCAGAAGGATGCAGAAGTTTGGAAAGATATCTGCCAGCGAGCAAAATACTTGTGGCACCAACTTGAGTGACTCTCTTAACGGGACCTGAAACCAGGTTTTGGCAGCTATTCCCTTCCCTGAAAAATAGAATTGTGCAGCTTCTTTTCCCCACTGGTTAAAGAGACAGTGTCCCTGCGTGTCATCACTTTGGAGAGCCAGAGGGTGACCTTGGGAAAAAAGGCTTTTGCAATGCCATGGCTTCATTTTACATCCAAAACATCCTTCATATCCTTCTATGGTCATGATTCCAAGTAGACTTAATCCAACAATCTACCACCCTCTTTGGCTTCTACAAGAAAGGAAAACCAGTCTGGTGGAAGGAAGGAAGGAAGGAAGGAAGGAAGGAAGGAAGGAAGGAAGGAGGGAGGGAGGGAGGGAGGAAGGGAGGGAGGGAGGGAGAAAGAAAAAGAAAGAAAGGGAGAGAAAGAAAAAGAAAGAAATAAAGAAAGAGGGAGGGAGGGAGGAGAAAGGAAAGAAGGAAGGAGGGAGGGAGGAAAGAAAGAGAAAGAAAGAAGGAAAGAAGAAGAAGGAAGAAAGGAAGGAGAAAGAAAAAGAAGGAAGGAAGGAAGGAAGGAGAGGGAAAGAAAAAGAAAGGAAGGAAGGAAGGAGAGAGAAAGAAAAAGAAAGAAAGAAAGAAAGAAAGAAAAAGAAAGAAAGAAAGAGGGAGGGAGGGAGGGAAGAGAAAGGAAAGAAGGAGGGAGGGAGGAAAGAGAAAGAAAGAAAGAAGAAGAAGGAAGGAAGGAAGGAAGGAAGGAAGGAAGGAAGGAAGGAAGAAAGAAGGAAGGAGAGAGAAAGAAAAAGAAAAAGAGGGAGGGAGGGAGGAGAAAGGAAAGAAGGAAGGAGGGAGGAAAGAGAAAGAAAGAAGGAAAGAAGGAGAAGGAAGAAAGGAAGGAGAAAGAAAAAGAAAGAAGGAAGAAAGGAGAAAGAAAAAGAAAAAGAAAGAGAGAGAGAAGGAAGGAAGGAGAGAGAAAGAAAAAGAAAGAAAGAAAGAAAGAAAGAAAGAAAGAAAGAAAGAAAGAGGGAGGGAGGGAGGGAGGAGAAAGGAAAGAAGGAGGGAGGGAGGAAAGCGAAAGAAAGAAAGAAAGAAGGAGAAGGAAGGAAGGAAGGAAGGAAGGAAGGAAGGAAGAAAGAAAGAAAAGGGGAAGATGACCAGCAACAAGGAAGATAGACTCAGTTATAGTGGAGACTGTTGGTAGATGTGAAAGAAAAAGGTTAGGGACAGGTGCTCACAAACAAAGTCTATCTATGTAGGTTCCAGGAGTTAAAAATGACTTGAGGACAGACCATCAATCTCAGGGAGGTAGTTTGGATCCTCTGTAGGTCATGAGCCGCTTGGAAGAAATTGCAGCATTTTTTAGAAGAACAGAAGACAGGTAGTCCTCAACTTAACAACCATTCCTTTAGTGACCATTTGAAGTTACAACAGCGCTGAAAAAAGTGACATGACCATTTTTGTCACACTTACGACCGTCGCAGCCCCCCCCCCCCCCATGGTCACGTGAGCAAAATTCAGACACTTGGCAACAGACTCCTTTAGGACAGTTGCAATGTCCACGCGGCCAACTTTCACAACCTTGACCTATGACTACAATTGGGCCCAGAATTTCCATTGCTAGGCAAGATGGATGATAGCCGAGTTGCGCCTGATTTCACGATCTTTTTTTGCCACATTGGTTAAGCGAATTGATGCAGTCGTAACATTGGATCACGTGGCCATTAAGCGAATCGGGCTTCCTCCCTTGAGTTTGTTTGTTGGAAGCTGGCTGGGAAGGTCACACATGCCGGTTGCCAAGGGCCTGAGTTTTACCCTGTGACTATGGGGATGCTGCAACAGTCATAAATGTGAGGATCAGGGGTACCTAAGTCACTTTTTTCTATGATGGTGTAACTTTGAATAGTCACCAAACAAAATGATTATAAGTCGAGGACAACCTGTCTTCAAACTATTACGAGTTCTTTCTGGTGCCACTTTAACTCTGATTGAATTAAGGCTTGAGCCAAGATGGCAAACTCTTAACTGGGGTTTCCGGATTACATCGGGAGGAGGGTCCATCCTGGCTGTTTTAGCCCCACAAGGAAAGGAGTAATTTTTAACAGATTAACAGTAACAGAGTTGGAAGGGACCTTGGAGGTCACCACTCCAACCCCGTGCTCACGCAGAAGACTGTACTAGGGATTCGAACCGCCGAACTGCCGAGTTTGACATACTCGACTCAAGAAGAATGAAACTTCTACATTTCTCCTTGCTTCCTTTAAACAGCTCGAAACACTGATAAAGGAACAGAGAATAGAATAGAATAGAATAGAATAGAATAGAATAGAATAGAATAGAGAATAGAATAGAATAGAATAGAATAGAATAGAATAGAATAGAATAGAATAGAATAGAATAACAGAGTTGGAAGGGACCTTGGAGGTCTTCTAGTCCAACCCCCTGCCTAGGCAGGAAACCCTACACCAGTTCAGACAAATGGTTATCCAACATCTTCTTAAAAATTCCCAGTGTTGGAGCATTCACAACTTCTGGAGGCCAGTTGTTCCACTGATTAATTGTTCTAACTGTCAGGAATTTTTTCCTTAGTTCTAGGTTACTTCTCTCCTTTTTAAGAAATTGTACAGCCAATTTGGACGCGGTAGCTCAGTGGCTAAGACACTGAGCTTGTCGATTGAAAGGTCGGCAGTTCGGCGGTTCGAATCCCTAGTGCTGTGTAATGGGGTGAGCTCCTGTTATACTTGTCCCAGCTTCTGCCAACCTAGCAGTTCGAAAGCACGTAAAAAATGCAAGTAGAAAAATAGGGACCACCTTTGGTGGGAAGGGAACAGTGTTCTGTGCGCCTTTGGCATTTCACCACCGGGTGAAATGCTCCCGGTTCGGACCGGCTCAGGCGAGTAGGTAGCGATGGCGGTGGGCAGTTCGGAGAACCGGTAGCAAAAATCCCTGCCCCCACCCCCCATGCCCAGCTGAGCTGCACGATCATCAGAGCCTTTTTTTTCTTTTAAATGGCTCTGACGAGCCAAGCTCTGACGATCCCAGCTGAGTTGCCTGCCGATCAGGCAACTCAGTTGGGATCGTCAGAGCCATTTAAAAGCATTTTTTTACATGGTTTTACATGTAAAAAATGGTTTTAAAAATTAAAAAAAAATGGCCACGCCCACCCAGTCACATTACCCCCCCACCAAGCCACGCCCACAGAACCGGTAGTAACAAATTTTAGATTTCATCCCTGATTTAGTCATGCCGGTTACATGACCACAGAGACGTCTTTGGACAGCGCTGGCTCTTAGGCTTTGAAACAGAGATGAGCACCGCCCCCTAGAGGCAGGAACAACTAGCACATATGTGCAAGGTGAGCCTTTACCTTTACCTTACAGACATTTGTCCGGAACAGTAGAGGGCCTCTTGGTTGAACAGAGGGTTGGAATAGAAGATCTCCAAAGTCTCTTCTAACTCTGTTATTCTTTACTCTGTACTCCTTACACCATTTCCTCTTGTTGGTGTGGTGGGTGCCATCCCAGACCAAACAATATTCTTTGATCGAGCACTTTTAGCTGTCTCAAATATACCTTGGAAGCCAAATCTGTCAAATGTTAAGCTACCCCCCTTGAAGGTTTCAGTTATCATTGACGGCTTGTTTGTCATCTCCCAGTGGAGCGAAGCAGGATAATTATGAATCCTTATAACTGAGAAATAAAGACAGTTTCTGGACCCTGGTCCGAACTGTTTGATGTCTGGATGAGGAGATCATCTGACATTCAGCAGGATTCCCAGCTTTGTCCTGATAGCTTCCCTCTTGCCCTCAACAATGCTTTTGCTAAATTGCAGTATTGTTTGGGTCCATCCAGGGACCACAAAGCATTATGAGATGAACAGTTCGCTTTCTATGACAGCCCAGCTCAAATGAATGGGCGCCGAGCACTTTCTCAGGGCTATAATTTTAGCTTGCCTGTTTTTGAATTCAAGAGACAAGGGATGATTCAGTCAAATGCGACAGAGGAAGAATGGAGGAATCAAGGAAGTGATCCCAACTGTTCTTCTATTAAGGAAGGAAACGAAGTGCGCTGGTTAGAAATTAAAATACTCTGTGAAACAGCAAAGAGAATTTAACTGAGTTTGCTTTTGAACTGCATAGAGTTGGGTGTTTGTCGGAAATAAAACAGAAGATTTTTTTTTAATTGGGGAGAACAATCTTCAGTTTGCATCTGAAACTTTTCTGTTTATAAGTCTCTCTCTATATATATACTAGCTGATAACCTGGCGTTGCCTGGGTATTTATTCATCCCAGTCCTGCATTAGACAGGATGAACAACTTCACCCTGAGCCCTGATTTTGGCAAGAATTAAATTAGTTAAAAATGTTTTCCCTATGCCCCCAGAAGCATCAAGTAAACTGATATCACCTTGTTTTGCTATGATCCATGATCCATGATCATTTGGTATGCTTTTTTCTGATCTTCATATAGAAGTGGCTTCTTGTCCACGATATGTGCACAATGCTATTTGACATTTTAGTTCTTTTCTCGTATGTAATCTTCATGAAATACGTCACGTCACTCTCGTAGTGGTGCAGGCTGGTTGAGTTGCAGTAACGTTTTATTGATCATGGCCATACATTTGTCCTCAAGAATGATCAAAACCTTGTTGAAAATGTCCGGACCAAACATAATTTCTAATGGTGGATTTTCCCCCTTACCAGAGGGAGCCCCCTTGTGGAGTACTGTGAAGCCGTTACCATAGCAACTCCACTGTGCTGCCCAGTAGAAGCCATTTTAAAGCTGTCCAGTAGAAGCCATTTTAAGGCACAACAGGCTGTATCTTAACAGAACACGCACCCTGAGAGGTATTAGGGGTGTCTTGCCCCCACAGTATTTCTTTCCAGAGAATAAGTCATCTGTGTACCAAGTTTGGTTGAAATTGCTCAAGGCGTTCCAGAATTATGCTGGAACATACACACATAAAGCCATTTTTATATACATATAGAAAGATTCTGTATTCTCAAGTTTCAACAGTTGAGGTAGAAGGATGGTGTGTAAACAGAATTATACAGATTACAGACTATGGTGGCAGTGCCCATTTATTTAGTGGTTTTGACTTACAGTTTT